GTGATATGTCATGTTTATGAAAGTGTTATGTCAGTCTTATTTAACCCCCTTCAAATAAAGTGTTACTGAATTAAGTTGTATTTATCAACTCAATGAAGACTCCACTGTTCCAATGTATTAATTCAATGTTTTAAAGTAAGATTCTGACCAGATGAAGTCCCTGCAGTGAGAGCAGTAGGTGGGCTGCCTCAGGTAGGTGGCCATGAACTTGTGCCCGTTAACCTGGTGGACCCTCCGCCGAACAGCCCCCTGGCGCTTCCTGGGTTGCATTCGCTGCCGGAAAACCCGCTCCTCATTGTTGGTAGAGCCCGCCTCTGCAAAACAAAACCAAAATGTTACATATGTGAAGCACTATAAGTATCAAGAAAATCAGTCTGGCATTAAGCAATGTCTACACAGCTACCAGCTGCGCTACTAAGTATAGTGATGAATGCTTTTCTGAACTTTCAGAGCCACATAAAGACATCTACAAAGTTGGCCTTCTATCACCTGTAGAACATTTCCAAGATCAGAGGACTAATATTCCAGCATTAGAGGAACTCATCCTCATGTATTTATCTTTAGTCACATTGATTATTGCAACAGTGTCTTTACACTTCCAGAAAACTGCAAAACTGCTAAAACACTGAGTTTCTTTAAATCAAGGCTAAAAATCCACCAGGTTAGAATTGACCTTGTTTAGTAGTAACTGGAACATTGATCAACATACTTTATGTCTACTTGCTTGATGGTTTTGACGATAACATTTGACAAAATGTAATGCTTATTGGTGGTTTCCTAGTTGGTTGCTGTATTATGTTTTTTTATGGTGCAAAACACTTTGAACTACATTGTTGCTGAAACTTGACTTGATCTTGTCCTCCTCAGTACCGCCGCAGGATCTTGGTGTTGCCACAAGTCATGCATGCTGCTATGCTGCACTGCAGCAGCTTGAAGTGGGCTAGGACAGCCAGAGACTGCAACATAATCAGCAGAAAGCACAGGATCTCCAGGCTGGTGCAGCTGTTGGAGATGTTAGCCTGGGCGGCTGCTCCTCAGTCATCAACAGCTTGTCGAACCACTGCAGCTTGAGCTCAGCATGGAGCCACATGTCCAGCCTCAGGACATCTTCATCAGCCATCTTCAGGAACTTACCTCGAGAGTCGGCCACATTGGTGGAATCGTTCACCTGGCAGGCAATCCTGATGAGGAAGGTGACCACAGTGTCAGCACACTGCTTCTCCACAGGTTTGCTGAGCATAGTCTCTGCTCCTGGCAAGGACTGAATGCGACCAAACACCATGGATGCGCCACTGACTGCTATTCGGAACCGCTTGACGCCCTGCCTGGTCTGGATTATTAGCTTCTGATTTTATCTTCCGAAACAGCGAAACGGCAAAAGGGCGATTCCACCTTATTTTTACTATAGTCTTTATTTTGTTCTAGTTTAAAAACTATAATATCTAAACATTTCAACTGTCATATCTGTCATTTTCAACTAGTTATTTTGTTTACTTGCTAATTTTCTGCGTTGCTGAAAAGTAACATCAAACAGTGGACACTGACACAAGAAGGCAGTTTTCTTCCTTACTGAATTTGTTACTGTGCAGGATAAATCTGGAGAAAAAAAAATTCAACAGTATTAATGGTTATAGTTTACAACCAGAAACCTGAATAAAGTAATTATTACCCTCATAATGGTTTTTAAAATCCAAGTGGATCAGTGATTTTTGTTGTAATTCCATTAAAACAAAAACAACAAAACATCATTTAAATTATTTATTAACTTTAGGGCAAAAAGTAATTTTCTCATTAGGTGCCACAAACCACTGAAACATTTTTGCGAGGGCTGGGAGGTGTTGGATTGTTGTCTATGCTTTCCCATTCTAACAGATTTTCTTGTTATTTAATTCTTCAGATCAGGCTGCAAACCCACGGACAATAGAGGCAGAAGAAAAGGCTCAGCTCAGAAGCTGTATTGCAAGAAGACCTCCAAATAAAAAGAAGAATGGTGGACCTCCTGGAGAAGTCAGAGCGGCGCAATACAGAAAGATTGGATAAGCTTACAGAGACTATGGAAAATATGACAAACTGTATTAAAGATGGCTTCAGTCTCCTTACCAGAATGTCTGTTAATAAAAACAAAACGTTGAAATTAAGGAGACTTTATTTTGTATTTATATATTGTATGACATAAGCAAATACTAGCCAAATTTAAATGGGCAGTTAATATTAATAAATATTAAAGAGTCCAACAGACTACTTAAATAAGAAAGAAAAGATAGCAGAACACCAGTAAAGAGTTTTTAAAAAGTCACTTGTAAAAATATTTCATAAATGCTCGAACAATTCATCACCATGCACTGCATGTCTATATAAATGACTGCTTGAAGTTCGTACTGATAAACAGAGGATGGATGCTATGGATGCTCCCTGCTAAAATATTTCTTGTCGTCTTTAATGTACTTTCAGCAAACAGTTGAAACAGAGTTGTTTTTGGTTTCACCACTATTTACCTGCTGTTACACATGCCATTGAAAGTATTCTTAAAATATTTTCTGTTTGTTTGCAGCTCATGTGACCAAAAAAGCTGAGGAGATGAAAAGTTAAAACTTGAGTTAAAATGTAGTTTTAACTTGAGATGAGTTAAAACTCAAGTTAGAATGTTACGTTTTAAAATTTTAACTTAAAAACCTCTACCGAAGGTACAACTTCAAGCTGGATAACCACAAGGTCTTCTTAAAAGTTAGTTTCAACTGGTTGGCTATCAAGTAAACCTGGAATCACTTTCAGGTCTTGCTTATGTCATTTAATTAGCTCTACTTCCTCAAGAAAATGAAAAGGTATGTTCTTTTGTGGGGGAATTTATCTTTTACTGTC